TTCTGGTCTCTCATGTCTAGCTGTGTGATATTGAACAAATCATTTGACTTCTGAACCTCAGTTTGCTTAGAAGGCACAATTTGCCACATGTGGCTCACAGACTGTCGGGCTGAGTGAGGACACGTGCTTTGTACACCGTACACTGTTCAAGGGCTACGCCAGTGCTGAATATCATGATTTGGCCAAAAGCCTGACAAACAACACTAGTTCCCAAGCAGGCCACCCTACTCCCTCCCAGCCCGTGCCTGGGCCAAATGCTTCCCCTGTTCCCCATCCGTCTCCAGTCTTCTGGGCACAAGAGAGCAGCAGCATGGCTAGAATGAAGGTTTTACCACCCCTCTCAGATTTTCACCTTCTATGTACTTTACTTTTTCCACTCTATGAAGTGTTTTACTTCAGCCATAATTTTTTTTCTACTTTAGAAAGCCAATAAGAATTAATCAATCAATAATTGTGTTGATGGGGGAAAAAAACCAATAAAAGTAGAACCATAAGAGGACTTGAACCTAATAACTTTGAAATATAAAGGGGAAGCTTTATCCATGGGAATTTACAGATATTATTTGGCCACCAGACGGCTTCCATATTTCTTCATTACTGCAATACAAACATAAGGAATACGGAGGAAAAAAACTCTATATAAGTGCTATAAATTTTGAGCTGAATTCCCTAGTCCGTACCATAGTAGTCATCCAAGGATTTTTTTTTTTTATATATAAAATCAGGCTTAATTTAGTGTATATTTTGCCTCTTCAACAAAAACTGTGGAAGAGTAAGCTTAAGAAAAAAAACAACCCACAAATATTTATACTATTTCCCCTCGTACAAATAAGCATCAGAATGTTTTTACTTGACAAACTAATCTACGGTTTTCAAAGTCTCCCCACTCCCAAATATTAAATTTTGTAACCCTTCGTTCATCATGCCACTTCTCAAAGTCTTCTTAGATCCTGATTCCTGCTTCCCTCCTCCACTCCTGTGCCTTGTTTGATACTTTCCCGTTTCAGGTAGTGAAGTGTCCTTTTGTTGTTTCGTTCCTACCTGAACCTTCCATCTAGGCTGTAGAGTTTTTCTTCACATTTGAAAAGAACCATTAGTCAGTCAAGTCCCTTTCCCTGTCACAATGGATCCTTCCATGTGCTCTAGCCCTTCCACATGCTGGTCCTTCAGCTGGGACTACTTGAGAAGTTGGGCAAGTCCCTGTGGTTTCAAGGGGAGGCTCAGTTCTCCTGCATGTACAAAACATTCAAGTAGATGACGCCCCAGGCCCCTTCTAGCCCTACAGTTTTAGGATTCTAGGTGCACGGCCTCAATGTTCTCTTCCGGCTATTTTATAATGACTCATTCCATCCACTTCCGCTCTCCATGATGAAGCTTCTAGCCTTCATCTACTGTCCTGCGTGCTTACAGATCTTACAGTGACATGATGCGTTGCGCTTTCCTGCAACTTTACTTGGATGACCTTTGGCCTCCTCACCATCACATGACTCCCTACGGCCACTCTCCTGGATTTCGCTATTGTCTTTGACGCTGATTGTTCTGAGCCTCCATCCTTTTCAACCGGTTCCCGATTCTCTGACTATCGTTTTCAGTATGAACTTAACACAGATATTTCTGGTGATCCCACCCCCTGATGATAAAGGGTGAAGGGGTGGAGAAGAAAAGGGGCAGCTCTAGGTGAGAGAGGAAGGAAGCAAAATCCTTTATCTCCTTGGCCCTGTGAACATCTACAGCAGGTCCTCTGTTTTTCTGAGAGACTCTCATAAACCTGGCCTTTCCCACCTGACGCCCAGGTACCTCAGGTTCTCTCACGGTTCCCTTTTATTGCTTTCACGTTTACGTGACGACGTAGCCTCTCAAAACTTCATTTCCTATTTAGGGAAACATCTCTAATGCAGCCTTTCAAACCTGTCTCTCCACTTTTCCAAATGACCAATTCCCCTAATTAGATTAATTGATCTGTGTTAATGTTAAGGAGAGAGTCATGTTCACTGTGAGATGAGAGAAGGAAGAGGGGCTCTGAATACAGAAAATCTTAGGTTCAAATCCTCTCTCTGCTACTGAGGAGCAGTGGGACTTTTAATTAACAGGCAACGATACGGTGTTTGCCATATAACAGGACTGTTCAAAACACTCTAAAAATAATTCATTTCTTAAGAGTCTTTTAATTTATCTATGTATGTAATCCTTATACCAATCCCATGAGGTAGATATTGTTAACATTCAGCAGTTGAGGAAGCTGAGGAACAGAGAGATCAAGTGTCCTGCACAAGACGGCAGGGCTAATGAGGGAGGAGAATGGGGATCTGAAAGCAGGCCATCCAGGGTATGCTCTTAAGCATAATACCATTTGGCCTCTGAGCCCCAGTGGGCTCACCTGAACAAAGGAGGATAACATTTTCTGAGTGGGGCTGTAGGAATTAGAGGTATTATGTATACAACATATGGCCCAGGACTTGCTCCTTCATTGGCTCCCAATACAGGGCAAATCATACCCTCCTTGTTTTTGCTCGTATTGCTCACTCTTCCTCCATCGCCTTTGCCGGTTCCTTCTCTTCTCTCCTATTTTGACTTTGAAGTATCAGAGGGCTTGGGCCTTAGCTAAGTCTTCATCTCATCCGGGATCGTGACTTTAAATCTACTCCGTCTCTACACTAACAACGCCCAAAGTCTTCTCTTCAGCCCAGAGTTGTCTCTTGAGCCTTTGTCCACACTGACATCACTGTCTCTTGCCATTACCACTTGATTTCTCGTAACACCTCAGGCTGACTCTATGCAAACCTGTACCACCCACAGCCTTCCCCATGTCAGTTGCCGGCAACACCATCCTTTCGGCGGGTTAGCGCCAAACTCTTGAATTCATCCTCATGACGGCAGAGTTGTGCCCCCCACAAAAGGTCTTCAGGTTCTTATCCCCGGGATCTGCAGATGGGACCTTACCCGGGTGTAGGGTTTTGGCAGATGATGACATTAAAATGAGATTAGAGTGAGCCCTCTTCTAATATGACTGGTATCCTTACAAAAAGGGGAATTTGGACACAGAGAGACATGCGCGTAGCTGTAGACAATGTGAAGACGCAGGAACACAAGTATAAAAAAGCCGAGGAATGCCTGAGGCTAACAGAAGCTAGGAACAGATGCTCCCTCAGAGCCCTAAGAAGGGATCGACCCCACCGACACCTGAATCTCAGACTTCCGGCCTCCAGAACTGTGAGACACGCATTTTGTGGCGCTTCGTCAAGGCAGCCCTCGGAAACTGGTACATCCTCGATTTCTTTCTTTGTCTTGCATTCCACGTACAATCTTTCAGCTCATCTCCCTGGTTCTACCTTCCATTTATATCCACAATTGGGCTTTGTCTCACGCCTTCCTTTGCTACCTAAACCCCATACCACTGGATCAATGTTATAGCCTCCCAACTAGTCTCTCCACTTTGACTCTGTCCCCCTCACAATCTAGAGTAGAGTAACCAGAATTTATATTCCTTTTTTTTTTTTTTTTTAAGATTTTATTTCCTTATCTGACACAGAGACACAGCGAGAGAGGGAATACGAGCAGGGGGAGTGGGAGAGGGAGAAGCAGGCTTCCCGCAGAGCAGGGAGCCCGATGCGGGGCTCGATCCCAGGACCCTGGGATCATGACCTGGAGCCAAAGGCTTAAGGACTGAGCCACTCAGGTGCCCCCAGAATTTATATTCCTAAAACAGGAGTAAGATTATGTCACTTCCTTTTGCTCAAAACTGCCCAGAGTTTGTCACTGGCATTAATATATTCCACTCAGTAAAATGCCAAAGTCCTTACAATAGCCCATGGTCTCATGGGTTGATCTGACCCCTGACCCCCTTATTTCTCTGACCTCACCACTGCTCTCCCTCTTGCTCGCTCTGCTCTAGCCTCATCGACTTGTTTTTGCTACTTGAACATGCCAGGTCTTGAAGAGAACCTGGGCTCCCAGCTCCCAGCTGCATGAGGCTCAGGTCAAGGCTTTGTTCCCACCCAGCCAGTGACTGAGCAAGGCAGGAATTTTGGAGCCAGACATTTCTTCTGCATGTGTGACTTCTTTCATAAGCAGCGTGTGCCTGGGGGCTCCCCACTGATGGCGCTGAAACTCCTCAGAGCTGTAGTGTCCTCTGATGCTCTTGGTAACCGGTCTTCCCTCTGTCCTTCCCCAGGGATCAAAGCAGTGCTGTGGTGGGAAGGTTCTCCCTTCTTCCTCTTGCCTAGCCTCACCTTGATTCTTCACAGGTGTTTCCCCCCTCTGTTCCTGCATCTCCTCTCCCCAGAATGCTTGTCCTCCAGCTACCTGCTAGGCTGGCCCCATGTCTCCCTCACGCCTTTGCTGAAATGCCACTCACTCTGCTCAAAACAGTGCTCTGACTCCATCTTCCCTGCTCGGATTCTTGTGCTCGGGTCCACTTTCTGCTTTTTTTCCCCCACTTGTCACTTTTTAACTTGTTATAATTTACTTATTTATCGTGTTTATTGTTTGTTTTCTACACTCTCCAGTAGAATGTGGGAATCTTTATCTTTTGTTCACTGATGTCTCCCAGTACGTAGACCAATGCTGGCAAATTAAAAACATGTTAAATTGGGGTGCCTGGGGTGGCTCCTTTGGTTAAGCGTCCAACTCTTGGGCTGGGCTCAGGTCATTATCTCAGGGTGGTGGGATCGAGCCCCGCGTCAGGCTACGTGCTCAGTGCAGAGTTTGCTTGAGGTTCTCGTTCCCTTTCCCTCCTCTCTCCCCTGCCCACTCTCTCTCGCCCTCTAAAATAAATAAATAAAAATTTTAAAAAATGTTAAAATTGATATCTTCCATTTATTTGCACATATGTTTAAAACTCTACTGTAAGAGGAAGGAGCTAAAAAACAATTGCTATTCTAACTGTGATATCGGGTTTTACATTTTGATGTTGCACCATTACTGTTGATATTATAACAGATAACAATGCTGACTGCCTTCCTTGTAATCTATTTACAGCTCTTCATTCGAGTTTTGCCCATAAGATGTTACTCGACCTGGACTACTGAGGGGCTGGATTCATATCTTAAGGTCTGCTTAACACTTCCCCTCCAGTCAGGGATGGTTCTGTGGCAAAACTAAGTTCTCTTTTCCTAAACAGCAGGCAAATCAATTAATGTGTATAATAGTGTGTACTGGATATGCTTTTAATCCACAGACTCAGTTGAGCATAGAATACTGCGTATCTTTATTTTCTCTACATCAACTTAATTCTGAATTCAACACATGGTATCCTTGGGTTCAGGAGACTGGATCTTAGTCAAGATCACGTTAAGGCTTTGGGTCTTAGAATGCAGTAAGGTACTGGAGTGAATCCCTGCAATCACTGGGCACCAGTCTCAGATATTCCTAGGCTATATGGTCTTCTTCGGTCTCAGGTCTCTGGGATATCGAGTTTGAGAATTTTGAGGGAGCCTGGAATTCATTGCTAAGAGTTTAGCCTCGCTAAAAGTGTCATCCAGCTTTTTACATTCTGTTGATACTAGGATCTTCCCGGGGAACACCAACTAATATTTCAATGTTAACATTTCAAAAGAGTATTCTGCCTCTAACAATGGGATAATGTGTTTGCATTCTTTATCACAGAGAGATTATGCTATTTTCCTTCTGAAGTCTCTGGAGAGTGGTTTCCCATGCCTTTTAGCTCCACTTCCTCTGTAGCATGAAGAGAGAAAAAACAATGCTAGTTTGCTAAGTAATCTTTCCAAATGGAACCACAAGTCACCTACCAAAATGGCGGCATGGAAATTGCCCCTTTTGCATGATCAAATTAATCCAATTATATCCGACTTACATGCTTCTCAGTAACTATGTCATCTCCCCCACCTCTGGACATTGTGCATTATTAAGAGATGAGAGGATGGGGGTCCCTCTTCCCAACTGTTCCTGTTAAGTTAGTCCATAGCGGCTCTCTTGCCCTGGTCAAGCATTACCAACCTTGAGCTTAACTGGCTTCTTTTACTAAAGGGAGAAAGAAGGTCTTTCTTTGATATAAGAGTATCAATAGAATGTAAAAAGCCCATCAGTTTAAAAACGGATGTAGTTTTGTCACAGCTGGTACAAGGAAAAGAGTTGGGGGAAGCACTGCAGACGGGTTGGGGAGGCAGAGACAAAGAATCCTGAATAAGGAATGGTGAAAAGACTGAGCAGCTGGAGGTTCACAGGGGATGGCTTGGCAGGAGCAATGGAAGAACAGGTGAGAGAGGGGAATCGGGCGCCTCATCAGAGACCTCGTGTGCCAGTCAGAGAAGTTTGGGTTGATTCATAGGCAGTAACAAAGCTCTGTAAATTCTGGCCATGAGCGCGCTTGTGCTCATGAGCGTGCTGTGCTTTGCAGGGGTTGGTGTAAGCACGAAGAACAGCCCACAGACGACTATGATCATCCAGACGCAGGTAAGCAGCCCTGATGATGAAGGGCAGCTGGGAGATGATAAAGGAGCAGGAGCAGAATGAACTAGGAAAGAAGGGGGGTTTGCAGGAGTAGCAATGCGGGCAGGGTCCTGGAAGGCCAGGTAAAGAGCGCCCCCCCCACATAGATGTGAGGGTAACAAGCGCTGACAGCCTTTTTGGAGACTCACTCCCTGAAGACAAGCACCGCGTATTCGCTGCTGCAGTTCTCATGGCTGTTATTATTATTGGTCGATGACCCAAGATTTCATGATTTAAGGAAATTAGAAACCAAGTTTATTTGTAAAAAGTGAAAAGGTTGTATTGCTGCGAGTAAGAGGCAGCGCCCCTGCTCCGCCCGCACCCTTTGGGCGCCCACAGTTCTTACACTGGGTTTCTTAGTGCGCTCGCACCTGTCTGCCTGGAGGCAGGGGTGCGGCAGGGAAACGTGCTGGATGAGCCAAAAATGCCACGGAGTTCATGACAGACGAGAACTGGCTTCCTCGCCCCTCGGGTGGGAGGGCTCGGCACACACAGCCTCTCGGAGGCAGAGGTCCGCGTTAGGGGTCCATGCCAGGCACCCAGGGCACCCAAGGTAGCCAAGTTAACCTCCTCTTTAATGTGCTTTCTGTCTCCTTCCCCCTTTCCCCGTCTCACTTTCCCACCTCCCTTGGAGGGCTTCCTGGGATCACTTCCCAATTAAACCACTCCAATCCTGCCCCAGGGACTGCGTCGACAGGAACCCCAGCCAGAAGATGCCACACAATTTCAAGTACTTATGACAACCAGATTCCATTAGCACCGAAGTCCTGCCTTGCTGGCCCTGCTCACAGCCATGGCGCACGCCTTCTGCCTTCCATGACGGCAGCTGCAGAATGTTTTTTTCTTTTTTTTTTAAGATTTATTTGACAGAGAGAAAGCACAAGCAGGGGGAGCCGCAGGCAGAGGGAGAAGCAGGCTCCCTGCTGAGCAAGGAGCCCAATGTGGGACTTGATCCCAAGACCCTGGGATCATGACCTGAGCCAAAGGGAGACACTTAACCAACTGAGCCACCCAGGCGTCCCACCTCAAAATGTCTTAAACCAGTTTCCACCAAACCATCTTATTTACACATCTGATGGCTCACTTACTCCACTAGTTACTGTTTTTGTTTTTGGTAGAGGAGTAAAAGGGAGGACTTAGCTCCCCAATAACTTTCATTTCGCCTTTGAAAATGGGGGAAGGCTGCTGGGCAGGATCCTGTGGGTGGCTTTCTTCCTCGTGTGCACCTCCAGGATAATCCCTGTGACTTTCACAGTTGAACTTTATAATTGGGTTCCACCGAGTAAGTCACTTCTTCCTTCTTGGTTTCAGGATTTCTGCACTGGGTCTCACCCTGGCAGACAAAGGGCAGAGGTAAAAGGAGAGGGTTGGCTGGAAACAGTCGACAACACAAGTGATGGACACGGGGATGAAGCCATTATTAATTATTTTAAAAACAACTCTATCTGCTGTTTATGTTAACCTTTGCTAACTCCATTAGCTATTTACGACCATAATTGCATGCAACGAGCCATGGATTTCTTCCAGATGGGCTGCATCATGATTTTGGAGGAGGATAATATTTTGTGGTTGTTATCTCTCTCTCTCTCCTCTTCATTCCCCGACCCTTGCTTGTTTATTTCTTCAACAAATACTTTTTGAGTGCCTCCTACATGTCAGGCACCCCACTAGGTGCAGGGGATAAAGTGGCAAACATAACGGATCTAATCCCTGTCCTCATGGTGCTTCATTTCTTCTTTTTTTTTGAGGGGGGGGGCTTCATTTCTTCTTTCCACTTGCATTCCTTATCTAAAAATATTACCTGTTGTGTTGTATAATCAATGCTCATTCTCTCTGGCAGTCTCTCGCTCTCTCTCTCTCTCTCTCTCTCTTTTTGTTTTTTTACCTCCCGAATATCATTTAAAAATTGCCAGTGAGGAACCTGTAGCATAAACAAATCTTTAACACCCTCCCCTCCAACACACATAATTTTAAGCATTTACTGTAGGACATACGTTTGCAGCTCACCAAAAATAGGGTTTATTTTTATTTATTTGAAAATCCTCAAATGCATGCTATGGATCAAACCCAGAGTTATTCTTTTGGCCAAGGAGGCGTGCTGGCAAGCCATGGTTTGAGCGGCCAGCAGCAGACAAGGTCCAGGAATGCCGAGACAAAATGCATGTGAAGAAGAGATGAAGGAGAGCCCACGGGGCTCTGTAACTCTGATTAAGTGGGCCCCTGAAATAACTTTAAAATGTAGACTTTAAAAGATATATCATACGATCACATAAAGGAGGTGGTTATGAATCACTGATGGTGGAAAAATTCTCAAGGAGAGTTCTAAAAACTGCTTGATGTTAAGCAGATGCATTATCCTTTGGACTGAACCACAGGAAGTTAAAGTTTTAAGATGATAGACAAAAGAGTATTTTTTTTCTTTGATGGTTGGGATAAAGTTTCTACCAAAAAGTCTAAGGTCAGCAATGATAAAAAATAATTTTAGGTGGTTTAAAAAGCTTAATTATATTGCTGTGTAGCCTTTTAGTAAATATGCCATGGAAATTGACAGTGAATTCCCATTAATTATAATTCAGTTCTAAATATCCTAGAAATTTCACATATAGCCATTATTTATTTACATATTTTAATGCTCATTCTTATTTAAATGACTACTGGTAATTTCATTTTATGAATCAATAAGATCAGAACTTATGCCTACAAGAAGACTAGTTAGCTTTTACAATAAGCAAGCATTTGAGATGAAGGTGTTATCTGAAAGCTATCAATTATGGCTCAGAGATTTGCGTTCCCCAAAATTATTCTAAGTGGAACAAATGAGGAGCTTGTCTTTGAAAGTGATTTCATTATTAAAATCAGGCACAAAGAAACTCAATACTATTTATTTCTCTAACCCTGTTTACTTGAATCTCACTAATAACTAAAGAGCACAGCTTAATTTATCTTTAATTTAAATTGGGTAACAAATTAATAAATTAAACAGTGAGTTTCCTAATTGTTTTTTGTCAGGTGGTATCCAAAGTTGCAAAATATGTACCCACCTGAGTGAGATTTCTGCATAGTGAGAACTAGACCTTCCACTTTCATGTAATTACTGAAACAATAGCACCTTATTTGATCTGGCACTTACCAATTAATTATGTATTTTAACACTATAGATTTCAGCATCTTCATTGTGAAACACTGGTAAATTTAATTTAGAAAAAAATACTACCAACTTTATATTTGAGGTATCTTGAACTCGTTCATGTTCATTTGCATTTAACATACCTCAGGTGGGAGACAATATGGGTACTACAGTTAATGCTCAGGGCATGTGATGTGCATGAACATGTCATGTGTCACGCATTTCACGGCGGCGAAAAATTGAGAAAGACTGATGGCAGAATATACCAACATATTTTGTGGTCAGTTATATCGATATTCCAATTTTCTTTCACTTATTTTATTTTATTTTTTTAAGATTTTATTTATTTATTTGAGAGAGAGAGAGAGCCCAAGCAGGGGGAGTGGCAGAGGGAAAGGGAGAAGCAGGCTCGCCACTGAGCAGAGAGCCGGTGGAGGGACTCAATCCCAGGACCCTGAGATCATGACCTGGGCCAAAGGCTGACGCTTAACTGACTGAGCCACCCAGGTGCCCCCGATATTCCAATTTTAAAGAGGGAGGCCCAGAAACTCAGAAATATTTAATAATTTGACTCATATCACAAGAGAAGGAAAGGAGTTAAACTAGAACTTTCCAATTAGTTAACTGTAAAATCTTTGAAAAAATAAAAATATTTGCAAAAATTGCTTAAAACATGAATGCCTTGGGACGCCTGGGGTGCTCATTCAGTTGAGTGACCAACTCTTGATTTCCACTCAGGTCATGAGATCCAGCCCTGTGGTTCGGCTCTTCCCTCTTCAGCAGGGAGTCTGCTTGAGATTCTTTCCCTCTTTGCCTAATCCCACTCCCATCCGCTCGCTCTCTCACTCTCTCTCTCTCTCTCAAACAAATAAATAAATCATTAAAAAAACTGAATGTCTTTAATCATTTTTAATGATCAAGTTTCCAACTGATTATCGATAGGCATCAATTTTAGTAAACATTTTTAACATTTTTAGCAGCAGAACAATGTACTCAAGTGGATTTTCTGGATCCTGTAACTTTTCATTTCTTATTTTGAAGTTAAAAAATTTATAAACTAATATCAAGTTTTCAAAAGATGTATGTACAAAAATATATGAATGTGGTTTGTGTTCGTAGTGTCTGTGTCTGTAATGATTCCAAAAATTTTTTAAAAATTGAAGTGAGAACACTTTACAGGAGATCTACTCCCTTCACAAAATTTTAGTGCACAATACAGTATTATTACCTGTAGGCACAGTGTTGTACAGCAGGTCACTAGAACTTATAATCTTACATATCTGAAATTTTATACCTGTAAAATTGAAAAAAAGATACTCTGAAGTAGTAACTATGATAATGATTATTGGCCATTTATTATTATTGGCCATTCTTCCTTTCATTAACAAAAATTCTGTATTCTCTGTGGTTTTCTTTTGGGTTAATCCCAATATTAGCATTCTAGATGCTTTTCATCAATGAGTTTTTGTTTTTTTCCTTTAACGAGCCAAGTAAAAGTGCTTGATGCAAACCAAAGAAAGGAAGGAAATAGGGTCTATTTTTGCTTCTTGCCATTGGCAGAGGAGTCATCATGGATTAAGAGATTCCTAACCCAGAGTTCTCCACTATATCTCAAAAGCAGATGCCCCCCCCACCCCCGGCAAAAGCCAATAACATATGAGTCCCAGATATTAGTTCTGCATTTAGATGTTCTGCCTTAAGGCTCACTCAGGTATGGCTGGACAGGACCTATTGAGGAAAGCCAAGCCGGGAACTTGCATGCCAAGAAGGGTCCTATGGGTTCTGGGCAACCACTTTCCCCTGCAGGTGATGAAGGATGCTTTAGTCCAGGAGATGTCTTCAGAAAGTATGGCATCAAGAGATCTCAGACCAGGCAAAGAGATTCTCAGGGGAGTGAAGGGGTTTGATACTCTCCATCCATCCTTATAGATTGAGAGACAGAGGAAACAAAGTGACCCTCAGATACTCAATACCAGGACCTGAAGGAAATCTGTCAGCACGTAGCAAGGCTCAAACCAATGGACTAGAACTAGGAGACTGGGGAGGATAAGGCACATTCCTGCCTATAGAGAGGATGAGTTTGGGCTTTACAACAAGGCAAAAGTCCAATAATGTCAAGTACAGCACTTGGACTAGGGCAGCCTGACAGCCTAAACTGGTTAAATCTTGTAGGTTTGAGCCTGCGGGTTGAACTGAGTATCCCCAGCTTTGTCAGAGGCTCTGAGTAGGAAGACTCTGACCTCACCTTGTTTACTGAGCAACAGTTACAAATCTCCAAGGTTTGAGTCTGTGCTACGTCATAGGGGAATGTTTTAGAGATTTTAACCTGGCTCTCTTATTCCTCGTAGGAAGAGACCATCAGCATCATCAAGGTCCAAGCCAGCAATGAAACAAAGTGATAAGGAAGCAAATGCCCTCTGTCCCATAGAAAGTGAGCATGGGAAAGGCAGGTCTTGCTTCAAGACCAGATTTGCTTTATGGTAAAAGAAACAACAGAGTTTACGTTGGTTCTAGAAATTGAACATTTTCTACAAATAAGAGTAGTAAATAACATTTATTGGATCGTTTCTCGAGTATCTTCTATGTTCTCGGCACTGCTCTAGGTACGGTCCACAGATAACGTACAGCCTCTGCAATAATCCTGAAAAGTAAATATTATAATCACAATTTTACAGGCGAGGAAACGGGGTAAGGTCACGTGACAGTCCGGTGACATGCTGAACTAATATTAAAGCGCCATCGTCTCTGTGCCCAGAGCCTGTTAATGTGGCTTTTAGTATCTCAAATGAGACTGCAAAATTGAGAAGCATGGCATTCACAAATAGACAAATTATCTGTAATTGTAGACACTGGATAAGCAAGGAGTAGAAGAAAGTTTTTCATACACAGTACCTCTTACTTAAATAGCTGCATTAAAAAAAGTATATGGATATCTATGGATTGGTGTGGCAAGGGGGTGGAGAGAGAGAGAGAGAGAGAGAGAGAGAGAGAGAGAGAGAGAAAGAGTCTTCACAGGGAGTTCCACAGGGCGCGAAGAAACAATATTGTGTTCCTCAAAAGCTCTAATAGGTGACACGGGTGAGTCAAAAAAGAGTCTTCATCAGTCAAGTAAAGATAATGTTTTGCTACTTTTGTGTCTAGTGGCACTGTAGAGCCGGGAGTCAGTTTGCTAGCTATTGTGGAAAGGGCCTCACCCATTTAAGAGATGGACTTGTTTTTATCCTCTCAGAGGTTAGGCTGGTGTTAGTCCACAATGCCTTAAATTATATTTGAAACAAGCATTTATTTCATTCTCTAAGCCTTTACTAATTCTTTGCCAGAACCTTACATTTGCCCTCGGGCCTTCTGGGAGATAAGCTCATTTCAGCTCACATTTTATTCTTCTGGATCGGCTTGACTTGGAGAAGACAGAAAACACCAAGTAAAATCTTGAATGGATTTCTCAGCCTTCTGTCTGCTTGACTTTTACATAAAGTGAGAAATAGGCTCAGCATTAGCTGTGGCCTTCTGCGATAATCTAATAGAGAAAATCTGTGGAGAGCCCTGAGAATAACTTCATAGTAAGTGAGGTAAAGAAAAATACTCCACCATATGGCCCTTTACCAAGTAGCTAGAGGACGGGCTCATGGCTGGGGCATGATTTTTTTTTTTTTTTTCCATCCCCAGCATCCAAAATTGAATGACACAGAGATCATTTTGATATCTATTGAAGAAATCTCCTCGATAACCCACTCCACTCAACCCTTCTGAGGTTTGCGCGCCATGACACCTCACTGGGTCTGTGCCTTCATTTGGTGGCAAAATTAACTGCCGTCTTCGTTATCTTTGGAAAGAGGGACACAGCTGATGGTTTACAGTCAAACTGAGGTACAGGCATTTTAATGAATTGATAAAAAATGACGGATTCAGAAAGTCACTATTTTGTAACTCCTAATGGAATCACGGGTCTAGGCAATAATCATCTGAGGCTACTAGGGCCTCCGGGTAAAAGGCCAAGGGCGTCTGTAATGGACAGATCAGGCAGACGGCACCAGAACCTGCCGGTCACTCTCAGCAGCCCTCCAAGGAAGTCCACCTGTATGGAATTTCTTGGCCTTTAAAAAAAAAAATCTTGAATCTCATCAACAAATGAATGACATTAAAAAGGAAGGAGACTATCACAGAATACGAAAGGCTGGATGAAAAAAAAATGCACTGCCTGACTCTTGTTTGGATCCTGATTTAAACAAACCGTGAAGAGACATTTTCGAGACAATCCGAGAAATTTCCATATGGACAGAGCATTAGCTGGTACTAGGCACTGATCTTGTGTAAGGTGTGATAGCGGCCTGGTGGTATTCTCAAAACAAACGAGTAACGTAGTAATGAAGCGTCTTTACTGACACGTTAAAGTATTTGTGAATGAAATGATTTGCTTTAAAGTCCTTCAGCAATAAAAACATAATAAATAAGTAATGGGGACAGAATCAATGAAATAAGACTTGCAAAATATACTCTCTACTTTTGTATATACTTGAGAACGTTCGTAATAAAAGCTAAAGCATTCAGGGCTTTTACTGTCTTGTTCAAAGTACACACACCTAAAAGAAGTCCTGTGGCCTCTTATCCATGAAGAGAAGCAAGGAGATGGAGGAACCCAGTGCTCAGAATGGGACTTCTTGTGAGTGCCTTTTTTTTTTTTAAAGTAAGAAGTTAACATTTCACTTTTTCCTCCAACGGTAGGCACAGATTAGGGCCTGTTTACCTCTGTAAATGGATTAATTTTCATAGTTTTGTAATAGTTTTTACAAGAGGAAACTTGTATCAGGAAATATTTAAGACATTTAACAGGAAAAAAACACGTAAGATTTTTAAGTTTGAGAATTTTATTTTTTAACTTTTACGTTCTAACCCCTACTCCCCGAAGAACCACTCACTATTCCTAGGTTCCATTGGTTTAGAGACTTCAGGTTGTTAGGAAAAAGCCTCAGTCAAGGTCATTTATACAGAGACCGTATTGAACTTTTCCATGAAGGCGGTGTTTTGCTTTCCAGATGGAAAAATCCTGAAACCCAGCAAATCAATGCAAATCTTATTCTCCATTCTCTTCCCCTTTCTGTTTTAATTTTCCTGTTTGTTTTCCTCAGTGTTTGCCCCTGTATCTGTGTTTACTCTCTCACCTGTGGCAAATACATGTTTTAGAGCTGAGTTCCTGCTGGTGCTTGTCCTGTGTTGACAATATTCGGCCGTGCGTGCAGCGCACAAGTCACGGTGCATATAGCAGTGCAGAGGAAAATAAACTCCATCAACATATTCACGATTGGATATCAGAACAGCTATTGTTTTCAGGCGACGTTAAGGAACTTCAAAGAGAATTGAGGGACGATGAGAGGAGGAGCAGAGCTGAGGAGAGATGGCTGGGTTGGGAGAAGGCAATGCCATTGTACAGACACATAAATGACAAAAGGAAACACAGCAAGACTTGGCTTCAAACGGAATGTGTATGAAAAGCTCATTCAAGCTCGAGCCATCTGACACCCGCAAACAAAAGTAGCTGCCACTAGACAGATATAGTTGCTCACTGGAGATTGAAGTTCTGAAAGCTTTGTAAAATTATCCTGCATCTTGCTGACACCCTACATCTGTATCTTACTTTGTTGGTGGACCAGCCATTTCCTGAGAGACTCTGGCTGGGTGCCCTCAGAGCAAATGCCTCTGTGGCCAGCCCCTCAGGCAAGAGATACTTCTATTTTCTGAAACCATCCGGTCAGAGGTCCTAATCAGTCTATTTTTCCCCCCAAGGTATGTATCTTGCCCTTTAATCTTAGGAGGCTTTTTAGGAGCGACCTCATAAAATCAAAAGGTCATTGCTTTAATCTGAATCAATTCAACAGAAAATTTCAGAAGAGGTCAGGTTTTCTCTGGCTTTCTTGGATTTAGTGTCGTTTTCTTAAATTGAGTATAAAACACCCCATAAAACATAACAGAAGAGAGAGTTGGGCACTTAGCCTTGACCCACATCTTTTAAGGGTCATCTTCCTAGTGTTAACTATCCAAAATTAATTACTCATAACACATAGAACTCCTTATAAATTCCGTGTGAATACCTAAAGTGATCATTTTTCTTTGCACCTGCTTATACAACAAGCATCCATTAAGTTTTAATTATCTCTTCTCCTGAGCCTTTCATCTTTGTGTTCCATCCACTGCTAGAGGCCTTTGAAGATGGAGATTTGGATTTCATATGTGCAGTTCACTGAAGGACTTACTTTAGGCCATACAAGTTCAGAGCTTGTTGATTGAAGCTATGAGGCCCACACATCCCCCAAATTCCACTTCTCTCTGAATTGAAACTACTATATTTTCTTAGGGAATCGGGGACAAATTTGGCCTGCAGTGTCTATATCCCTTCTAGAATGGAAACCTTATGATGAGATCAAAGTTTAAAAGCAGCTTGCTTTGTTCTGGGCAAATTGCGCTTTAAAATTTAACATAAAGAAATATTGCTGTGTGCGGGCACTGGCTCTAAAGAATTATATAACAGACTAAGAGGGAGAAAAAGAAGGGGGGGTGGGGCCTAGAAAACCGTAATATGCATTTAGAATCTTCTTTATACTCAAGCGGCCATTGATTTATTTTAATATATTACTTGTCTTACTGAAATACAGTGTTGTTTTGAATTTTATTTGTTTATAGCTATTGAAGGATTGGGCTCCCCATCTGCTTGAGACAGCTCTCGAACAAGCGGTATGACCAAATCTAATTATTTCTCTTGCTACAGCGGTAATATGCTGTATCTTCAGAAGAAATCGATTCTAAAATGTATTCAAAGAAACCTGCCCACCATCCACGTCAGAGCATTCAATAAAATAAACTTTGCTGTCTGCCTAAGTCTTGAGATACATTAAAAATCGAGGGCTGGGATAAAAATGAGGTTGCTCTCATTTGAGTCACCATAACAGTTCAATATCAAAGAAAATCACTAATCACTCAGTAGACAGATGTCCGTTCACTTAAAAAATCTTCACGTACCATTTATTTAGTTTTATTTCATTTCCTTTCGTCTATGTGTTGATAAGGAAATTGGTATTTGAGTGCCGGCATTTGAATTTTGAGATGCTAAAAACCTGGCAAGAACTAAGCACCTCTTATTTTAAGCACCACTCAAGTGTCTTATATGCAGTTAGCTGTGACTGTAAGCTTTGGAGGTGGAGAGCAAGCAGCTAACTTGTGTGCATGTGTGTGCGCATGTGCGTACGCGTGTGCGTGCACGTTTAAAGGCGGTCATCATGCCATATAATTCTGGCTGGTTTGTTTTGTCACATGTAAGATAATGGACTCTTAAGCTGTACAGCAGGATATTGTTTGGAGTCGATACAACCCATTTAATCGAAACCAAATTCCTTTCCTTAATCCATTCAGCTGGGAAGCAAACTTTCCTGCGTGATCTCTACTTCAAGCCGCGGGTACAATACCCAAACTGCTAACACCAACACACTGACACCTTGATTGCAGGAAACAGGTAAGACAGATGCTAAGTCACAGTACGAAAAGCAGAGGGAAGGGATCTGCTTACCCATCTCACAAGTACTTTACCTAACTGTTTGCTGTTAATAAAATGCTGGAATTTGGATTTTGGCTGACATTTTCAAACTTCATTTATATGACAAAAATGATTTGGATGCATTAAAATTAGGGTGGAAAAGGCAATTAGAAAACTTAAAATACACTATGAGTATTTTATTTTAGGTGCCTTGCCTATGCCTAATTTATGTTAGTTACTTAGTTATACGTACATATAGATTGGAGTACGACCTCAGTAGAGTGGAACCCGTCTCTAAACGGTCTTTTGTAAAGTGAAAACACAGTTACTGTAAAAATCATAATCTAACCATGGCAGCAGACCAGTTTCTTTCCTCCTTTATTCCTTCAGTCTTTCTGCTGCTCTCTTCCTCCCACTCCCAACGTCCCCGGTCTGTCATGGGTTTTGGTTTAATATTTTCACTTCCACCGAATAAGGATTTTGGCTTAAAATTTAAAATTTTATCTTTCCAAGAGCAATGTTAACAGGCCACCATTACATAAGAAAAAGTGAAATCTACCAGCAGGTGGCCAAGTGTAGAGCAAGCAAAATTTTTACTGTTTCAAAGCCATTTTCCTGAAGTTGTATGAACCAAACTTCTGAAATATCCCAAATAAGAGATTTTATAGGAAATCCTATAGAGACAATACACTTTTACTGTTCAGCTATCTTGAAAAAACTTCCAAAAATCTATTTTAAAACCATGTTTGGTAACTTGAAAAATAAGTTCTTTTCGCTGCCCAAATTTCTGAGTGCAACGATCCATAGTCATTTTAAATGCTAGAATAATCAAAGGCACCGTAGAAAACCATTGAAAATAGTTCCATAGTCCCACTGAAGTCTGGCTTGTATACGTGGTGCTTTTCCCTTTCTTCTTTTATTTTGTTCCGTGACAGCATAGAAGTGAGGATCCAAGTTGAGAGCCAGCGTCAGGCAGCGTTAAGCAATGTGCACAGTGGTTCCAATTATTTTAAGGTAGTATGTGCCCATGGATAATTGCTTACACATTTACTTATTCCTAATTTGGGTCTCACTGTTCCTAAGTAGCTTCATCATACCCTCTCTGAGCAGGCCCTTTGCACCCCTGGGCTAAATCAGACATCCAAAGTCATCTATTCATGAGTACAGTGTTACCATTAGCAATGTGCAATGGTTGTCACAGAGCTCTGGGATCAGCAGGTGGTATTCTGCATGACCATGGTTGCTGGAGAGATAAGGCAAAAATAATCTTCTGGGAGAAATAAAAGAAACTATGTAATGAAATCAGTATTCTAAAAAATAATACGTGTTCAAGTAAGCTTCAAAGCCCATTTATTATACTTCTGGTCCAAAAAAGTATCTATAATCATTTTATGAGCAGCTGATGACTTGAAACCAAGACCGTCTATTACAGTTATAGTATACACAAAATTATAGATGTTGGTACATTGCTCCATTGTTCTACCCAGAGAATATCAACCCTCTTTATTTAAAGGCCAGTATATCCCCAGGCAAATTGAGTTTCCGTGCTCAGTTGGTTCAGAGCCTATTTCAAGCAAACGCTGACTATGTCAAAATATATACTGATTTTGTGATATACATAGTTTTCCAAAGGACGAAGTGAGATCACCAGTCTCAATCCATTTGTGACTTGACTTAGATTTAAAGTTGCCCTCAAGAAATAGCTAGCTGGTATATAAGTGCACTGAAATATTTTACATTGAGATACCTTTCTCCTTATCCTTCAGTTTTCTGATCATGAATTACTAAAATTATCTTGAAAACTTGAAAAAAAATTCTATTATTGAGAAAATTCATTATATTAGTCTAAGGCCAAACCGCCTACTTATAATCAACAATACCATTTTGAGTACTCTGTTCTTTGTGACATTTTCTAAAAGAATAGCTCTCCCTACATTAATCCTATAATAGACAGAAAGAGTATGAAGTGCAAGAATATACACAGATTGCATTATAATTCCTTTTTTTCTGTAAAAAAGATGTCAAAGATAAATCTAAATGTGGTTTAAATATACACTTTGCTTCAAATGTTTAGGAAATGATGCCTAACACAGAGAAAAATAAAGCCATTAATTTTCCATTTGCATTACTTGCCCTTGAACTTTATTTGACATTTCTCATTTGCTTTTGCAATATAAAGTCCAAGATTCCAGTTTAAAGGATGTAAATGTTAGGTTTTGGTTTTGTTTTTGCATTTTTAGGGTATACGTACTTATTTTTCTTAATGTCCATTTTATATGGACAATTTAAGTACCAATTTAAGTTGTATGTGGCTCACATCTATTACCTATCCAAACTCCATATAGCTCTACTTCTGAAGGCTTTTAGAAAATTCTATTTGGACTATTTCACCTGAGAATATATCACCCACAATGTGCACTTTGCAAACTGAATTAAATTGTTTTTCTCTCAACTTTTTGTCAGTATATAGTTCTTCCCCACCCCTACATGAAAAGAGAGAGAAGAGTACAGTACTTACGGAGGTGTAAGATGCTCATATGCAGGTAATGTACGAACAAAGTCAATAGCCTGGATTTATCATATTCACTAACAATTTAAATTTAAGCATATCATTTTATTCCTTTCTCTCTCCCTCCCAGCTCCCCACCTTATTCTCTCCTCCCCTTCCTTCTTCCTTCTAACATCCTGAACAATTCCTGTTGTAACAGGGACTGTATCAGATGCGGGAGCCACGCAGTTATCAAAACAGAGGCTGCCCCCACCCTTGGGGACCTAGTCATTCAGTGAGAGAAGGACAGTCAGTAGATATTCATAAAGTCCTACAATTACAAAGTGGGGCAAGAGTCAGAGTGAAAACTGCTTGGACCAGGAATGAGTACACCAGAACATCTGGTTTAGGTGAAGAGTTGAGGAAAGGCTTCTCTGAAGAAGGATGTTTGAGTATAGTGCATTATTACCAAATAACAATAAAAACAATTTTTTGAGGATATAATGTGTACAGGATTCTGTGCTGAGTTCTGATGTTAAAATTGATAATGGCCAAAAAGCAGACCAAGACAAACGAATAAACAAAAAACATGCAAAGCTCTGATTCTTACCCTCCCTCAAGGATCTTTATGATTATACTTGGGTAGTAGAATCTTAATAATGAATTAGTGCATTGTTTCTATAAGCAGAGTTTTTCTAAACACCCTCATATACATTCTCCTACTTAACTGCACATTAACCCTGTGCACTGAGTAGGTAACAAGTAGTCTTTTGTCTAATCAATATTGATTTTCTATTCTATGTCATAACATGTTTTCTGCTGGATTCTGGGAATATGATATTGAAGGAAAGTCTGCCGCTGGCTTCCACAACGTGCAATCTAGTAGACACACAAGGGGGAGGGAGATCCTATGAGCCAAATTTCCTCTTGGGAATAAACTCAGGGTGGTTTGGAGCACATGGGAGGACCACGCATTCTTGGCTTGAGGTCAGGAGAGACAGCCTGTGAGGCAGTTACCAGAACACTCATTCTACAGGAGTAGAAACTGAAGCCCATGAAAGATAGAGGACTTGTCCAGTTTCAAATTTTTTAAACATTTTATCTGAGATAGAAGGAATTAAGTATTATTTACTCAAATCATTACTGTCTGATTGGTATAGCTAATCTAATCTTAATTTAGGGGATGATATTTACATTAGGATGATATTTACATTACATTTACATTTACATTCCAACTACAAGGCAGCTAGAAAGGCAGATTCTTACTGTTTGATAACAGAGTCCTAGAAACAAAAATAAACATAAACAAAAAGACCCGTAAACCTAACATCTAGCTTTGAACTTTTCTGCATGCCAACTTTCTCCACAGGAGGACTTAATGATCCCTGCAAGCTACCCGTCTTGGGGAAGATGGAATCGGGACAGGAAGGAGTTTGCGATCATATTCAGGAATGAAGGAAGACAACTTTCATTTAAAAATTCTTATTTTAAGTATCGTCTTTAAGTATAACTTACCTTCTCTAACAGCATAAAAGAAAGCCTGAAATGTGCAAAGGGCTTTAGCTCAATGGCGCTTCTTTATGGAGTTTCAACAAAGAGAACTGATTTCTTCTAAAGGACTTCATAATATGATAGGAAAAATTATCAGAGATAATGAGGAGAAAATGGTATTACAGTCCCGGAAGAAAAACACCTTATAAGAGATCCAGAAATTCAGCACAATCTTGAGTTAGAATCCCAGTTGGGATTGGCATTTTGCAATGCATTAAAACAGCAATGATTAGTGCACTGAGCCACAAGGCTGACTTCGTCGATCATTCTCCATCAAAACCCACATTTTTTTAAATAACAGTACACCACTGGACCCAAATTCAGTGGTTTCCCAGAGACCAATTTTTACTGTCAGATGTTAATAAACTAGTGTCAGCATAGTTGGATGATTTAGATGTGCCTGGATTGTTAGGATGTTCAGGGTGGTTCATCACCATTGTAGATGACAGTAGTTCACAGCAATGATAAATGTTTCCTGTCTGCTGATATACGGGCACATTTAAATTATGTTGCATGACTATTCTGTCTCTTTAAACAAGAAGGAAATTAAGCTTCAAGTTTAATTAAACATTATTTTGAAAATTGGGTTTTGGTATATAAAATTCACCCTGTGATTCTTCCAAGTTCTTTCCTTGAGAAAATAGATTGCACGTTTCATTGGGATTTGACCTTAATTAATCCTTACTTTGTGATCCACCCCTTTGCTGAAATAGTCTTATCAAAAGGAATGCAAGCTATGGGCTAAGATAACAATCGGTCATTAACTTCTGTGTGTAATGCTGGCTGTGGTCCATGGGCAAGGAATTCAAAACCCATTGTACACAGTAATGTCCAGGGCTTAGGGCTCTATGGCCGAGAGACAAAATAAACTATGCAGAACAGCATCTTTACACAGTCTACATGGATTTACACTAGAGCAAACGGTCTGAAACACTCATAATGCAGCATGTGCGTTGGCATCCAGTCCTGTAGTGTGAGATTACACTGGAGGTAGGTCAGTGTATATATATCTTAGTAAGAATGATTTACAAAGCTATGCTATCACTTAACATTGAAAAGAAACTGACTAGTTCTTTCTGTTGTTTTAGATATTACCCTAGAACATTAGCTCTTCTTATGTAACTGGACTCCTTTCTAATAAGAGAAGGATTTGAATTAATAAATATGTGTGGCCTGTTGCTCTGAAATGTATGTAGTCCAGGTAAATATAACACATGTGCGGGGTTAATCATAAAGCAAATGCCTATAGCATCTGAAATCTATTATACAGTGTGGCTCTTTTTTTTTTCCTTGGCCAAGACCAAGAAAACAAGTTTTAACTTGGGGAATCTGAAGAATGCCACATGATGATTTCTTTACATTTGTGCAATCAACCAAAGAAACATTCTGTAAGCCCCTGGCACAGTGATGATGATCCTACATTTTTTAGTACCCTTTTCAGATTCAAAACGACTGTGCTAATTTTTGAATACTTTCCATTCATCTGACATTTATTGAATACCTATTATGTGCTGGGTTCTCTTCTAGATACTTGGAATATAGTAGTGAATCAAACAGCAAAAAAAAAAAAAATAAAAAAAAATAAAAACCAAAACACAAAACCAACCAAGAAGAACAACAACAAAAATCACCTGCCTTCATGAAAAATACATTATAAAGGTATAGATATACCATGAGAGATGGGCATACAACTTTTGTCATTCATGGGTGTCCAGTGGAAACTGAAGAAACTTATGGGATATTATAACAACACAAAATGTTGTTCTTTTATTTTAGTTATCAAGAGATACTGATGCTTGACCTATCATTCCACCTTCTTTGATTCCTTTCATCCTAGTCTCCATGGAGATTGTTTTAGTCTCCATCATTGTGGTAGCCTCCTGATGGGATACCACCTAACACTTTCTTGATTCAAACTCACTTAGAAAATCAATTTAATTAAAGAGTTAATTATTCAGCAGTGACTATACACAAGATGGCTCTGAATTAATCTTAAAATACCCTTTCTATCATGGCCACCGTGAGGGAAGTGGTTGCCCGCTGCCTCGGGATTCAAACTCATCTGCGAAATCTGGTATTCATGTCCCTTCATAATTGTACCCGTGTGGTCTTTCCAAACTCTTACCCTTCTACCTCCCACATAGTTTTGTCTATTACAGTAAAACCATCCTTTCTTTCATTAGCTCCTTTCCCCATGCTTAGATCCACTTCCAGTACTTCTACCACAGATGCCCTCACAAGCTGATCAGAGGACTTAGTTCTTTCTACTTGCTATCTTTCTGCTTGGGACCGTCTGACAGATATTTTCCGAGATCATTCTTTTCAAGTGTGGGCCCAGATGTCACTTGTTCAGAGAGGCCTGGGCCTCAGGCTCACATCAGTTTAATTAGCTACAATCTCTGTGATAGGGAACGGCAAAGAAGGAGGTGAGAAGAGAAACTAGAAATGTGTGCAAAAAATGAAATTCTTCCCTCTCCTCCCCAATGGGATAATCAGTGGCAATCTCCTTATCTGGAAATGTGAGTAATAAGAATTCTTCCAAATCTTGGATTTATTAATATCCTAGGATAAGGAAACTGTGACTTTTGAGTTTTGGCCTACTCAAAATCTGTGAGACAAATTTCTCAGTTAACGGTTAAGGAGATTAAAAAAGTCTCATCCAATATTTATCTGTAATGTTTAAACTAAAAATACCAAGCTAAGAAATAGAGCTATACACACATGGTCAACTGATTTTCGACAAAGGTGCGAAGGTAATCCAATAGGGAAAGGATACTTTTTTCGATAGGGTGCTAGGAAAATGGTATACCCTTATAGGAAAAAAGAAATATATCTAGACCCTAACCGTAATGGATAAGCAAAAATTAACTCAAAGTAGAGTATAGAAATAAAAAATAAAAATTTAAACTATAAAACTTCTGGAAGGAAATATAGAGGATCTTCACGACTGTGTGATAGGTAAATATTTTTTAGGACACAAAAGGAAGACACTATAAAGGAAAAGAAATTGAACTTTGTCAAAGTTAACATTCATCAAAATTAATGATTAGGAAAATAAAAAGTTAAGCCCATAACCAAGGACTAGTATTCAGCAGAATATATAACAAATGCTTTTAACTTACTAACAAAATGCAGACAACTTAAAAAAAAGGGGCAAAAGATGTGAATGGACACTTGCAAATATACAAATAGCCAAAAATAAACACATGAGAAAAAAAACCCTCAATATCATTAGTCATCAGAGAGAAGCAAATTAAGCCATAATGAAAACACCACTGCATAATCATTAGATGGCTAAAATTAAAAAGATTAACCAAGTACCAAAGACAAATACTATAGGATCTCACTTATATGTGGGATCTAAAACAAATAAACAAACTAGGCTCAAGGATACAGAAAAGATTTGTGGTTGCCAGAGGTGCAGGTAGGGGGTAGGTAAATGGGTGAAGGGAGTCAAAAGGTACAAACTTCTGTTTGTAATAAAAGATAAACACAAATAAATAAACATAAATAAGCTATGGGGATGTGATGTACAGCGTGGCAGCTAAAGCTAATAATACTGTATTGCATATTTGAATGCTGCTAAAGGAGTAAATCCTAGAAGTTCTCATCACAAGAAAAAAATATTCTGTGACTAAGTATGGTGATGGATGTCATCTAGACTTATAGTGGTGGCCATTTTGAATATATACAAATACTTGAATCGTTATGTTGCATACTTGAAACTAATATAATGTTGCAAGTCTATTATATCTAAAAAAAAAACAAAAAAAAGAAGTTAACAAAAAGAAAGACTGGCTCTACCAAGTGTTGGTGAGGATGTGAAACAGCTGGAACTCTTATAGAATGCTGGTGGGAAAGCAAAGTGGTACAACTACTTCAGAAAACAATTTTCCAGTTTCTTATAAAATTGACACAGACATACTATACTACTCAATAATTCCACCTCTAGACATGCCATTCGGAAGTGAAAATGTATGTCCTACAAAGACCTCTATACAAAGGATCACAGCAATTCTATTCACAATAGTTTAAACTGGAGACAATGGACTATCCATCAGCAAGTAAAAGGGTAAACACATTGTGTTATATGTATTCAGTGGAATAATACTCAGCAATAAAAAGGAAGAGATACTGACATACAACTCCATGGACACAAAAGTGTATAAACAGTATAAGTCTATTTTAACAATAGTTTAGAAAAGGACCATCCATTGTGACAGAGGACAGCTCACTGGCTGTCTGCAAAGAGAGAAGGCTAGAATTCACTGGGAAGGATCAAAAGAAGACATTTTTGGGGGGATGAAAATGTGCTATACCTTGACTGTGGTAGTGGTTACACGGTGTACAAATGTGCCAAAATTCAGTAAAGTATATACTTAAATGAGTGAATTTTACTGTATGTAAATTATACCTCAATGAAGTTGAATAAAATATTTTTAAATACAAACCTGAGTTTGTACTACCATTCACGGTTCATAAAACATCTTCACATACATTATTTGCTACCTTAGGCATGTGGAGCTAAGTATGAATAGGTATTATTTCATTGGCATTTTGCTGCATCCATTCACCTGGGGGGTGCTTAAGTACGGTGCCCTGGCTTTGCAAAGGTCGTAGTGATGATGATGATGATGATGATGATGATGATGATGATGATGGAGAACCAAAGTCCACATACTGATAAGTGCATCCACCTCATGGGTTATATTGAGAATTCAATTTGATAGCAGATCCAACATGCTTAGGACAGTGCCTAGCAATTAGTAAATACGTCATAAATGGCAACTACCTTTATTAATCTGATGTCACTTACTATACTTCAGTATCTTTATATGTCACGCTAGATAAAAATAAAATAAAAACCTACCTTTCAAGGTTGTTATGTGAATGAGTTTAAATAAGTTATTTATGTGAAATTACGAGCATTAGTAGCCCCCATTAGACCATGGCTAGCAGGACTGTGGGATGTATGTCATTGTGGCCCAGGGCAGAAAAGCCTTTTCAGGTTGCAGGAAGACTTGACAGTGCTGATAAGGTTCCTTCCCCAGCTGAGAAGTCTATGTTAAGACAGTAAGAGCTCTGCTCTGGATGTTCCTGCCTGGCTAATGGTTCACTTTGTGCCAGCTCAACTGATCCCCAAACTTAAAATCTTTCTCTGGGAAAACCTAGGAACTTATATCTTGATTTCAGATACCCTTTGCACTGTTTGTTGGCTGAACTGAAAGTAACCCAAAGAGGAAACAACTTCAGCCAAGTCTGAGTCTCTTCTTTTTAGTCCTTTATAAGATAGCCCAGCTCAAAACCTAATGTCTTCTTTCTTTGCTTCTTGATCTTGGCATCCATCATTTTATACCCTTTTGTCTCCTCATTCTCTGTCTATGGAGAGCC